CCCCAAAACCCCAAAACCCCGAATGTTAATTATTTCATCTTTAATAGGAAATTAATTAAGATCATTTTGATGTTTAGCTGTATGAGGTTTTAATAAATACAGTCGTTATAATTGCTGATATGCATTGCACTATCATAACATACATGGGTATTAGTTTATTATGTAATTCTGCTAATTAAGGAGCCAGCAAAGTGCATAATCTACAAACGAAATTGCAAATTCCATAACTTGTAGACAAAAGCTAGGTTGGAAATAAATCTATATGAATCTAATACAAGGCAGTATAACTCATGCATAAAGCAGCTTTAAATACCAGAAATATAATAGCAAACATATATTGATTTAGGTTATGTACACCTGTCATAACTAGAACTGCTACTAAACTAGCAATAAAACTTGCTAGTAAGCTAATCTTATTGTTTGAGATGGCTGCAACTGGATCAGAAATTAGATAACCAAACATTGATAAAGATGCTACGAGCTGATTGATATATATGTTTCCGGGTAAATACTTTACAAAGAAATCTAGTAAAAAGAATATGAATGTAGCTGTTATCCATCCTACACTGATCAGGATCATGTTATAAACTGCATACTTGGTAGAAAGAAGTGTACCCAATAAACTCTTATTCTAATGTTATTTCTAAGAAATTATTATCTTTTATTGAAGGAGACCCTCATCTTCTTATTAGTATTTCAATGCTATTTCATTTTGTTTAGTAAGTATCTGCTAATCCTCGTATGTTTAAAGTTCAATCATAACTTTCTTCTAGATATCTTCAGGGGTATTATTGAAACTCATTATATTTCTAATGTCTTCATTCAATTCTTAGTAGTTATTTTTAATGAGATTAAATTTAATAGACTCGGGTATCTTCAGGTAAGTATGCGAAATGAAAATAGTAACAACACTCAGAGTTAGGCCAATATATACAAAAATCTATGTGTTTCTAGTAATGAAATAAAGTATAAGAGGAGATACTGTGAAGACTGCTCCGTCAACAAAGAAAAATAGACCGCTCACAAAACTTGTCTTATGTCCCATAAATTCCATAATGTGGGTATAGAATATAAACTATTTTAGTCCTATGCATACACCGTTTAGAGTCAACGCGACATAATAAATATGATTGTTTCTAAATATTAATAGTATAAGCATAACAAGGACAGTGAGCCACATAGAGACATAAGAAAAATATTTCCTTCCATAAGTGTCTGCTAGAGGAGGGAATATCAAAGCAGCAATGGATGTTCCAAAGAATTCCATCGATCCAAAAAGTCCAATCAAGTATCCTTCACTACAATGCATTTACAGCCTATCAATCCAATTATCCATACTCAACATATCTTGATAATTAACAAACCAGAGCTTTCCTCTTTATTACTAATTCAGAGTCTGGCATATATACTCATTTTCACAACTCTCATACATGTTAGTAGTCTGATTTAGGCATTTATATTGAGGTAGAATAAGTAAATATGAATAGTTGTAGCAAAGAAAAGAGTTTGTAATAAAATTTGCGAAATATAGAGCAGCCAAAAATGTTTGATATCTACCGAATGGTATCATTTCAATGATTTGCTGAGGCCCAAGTTCTTTCGATTTATTATTAGAGTTTTCTATGTACTTATCATCCAACTTTTTTCCTTTTTAGATTAAATTTTGTAATTCCAAAATATTCTAGGTTTTCAATTTATCTAGTGGACTATGTTCTTCATTTATAATATCACATTTTTCCATTTTAAATTTAGTAATTATCTTATCATTTATTAATAAAATTTTACACTTAAGGGGTTTTGGGGTTTTGGGGTTTTGGGG